ACAAACCCATGGAAGAGTAGCATTTGATCACACAAAGCCCTGGCCAGAGTGCCACATACACCTAAGATCTCCGTAGCGATCCGAATCGGACAGATCAACTGTATGCGCAGTGCAGCTGCGGGAATCCGACTGGCTAATTAGAACAAAGCATTGCGATGGCCCCAGCGGGTGATGACGCAATGTGATTCCTGCCCAGTGCTCTGAATGTCAATGTGAAGAAATTCAAGCAAGCGCGGGTAAACGGCGGGAGTAACTATGACTCTGGCACGGACCGCGGGAATCCGACTGTCTAATTAAAACAAAGCATTGCGATGGCCCCAGCGGGTGATGACGCAATGTGATTTCTGCCCAGTGCTCTGAATGTCAACGTGAAGAAATTCAAGCAAGCGCGGGTAAACGGCGGGAGTAACTATGACTCTCTCAACGCGTTAAGTAAGACCTAAACTTTGCATATAAGGCCCCGTGGAGTCAAATGCCGTGTACGGAAAATCGGTGCACCTACTACTCCGACAATCCCGAAGGCTCACTGGCTTCCGTAGAAGGTTCGTGTAGGTATCAGGTCGCTTAACGCGCAAGCGAAGGTTATATCGCACCTCTAACTCGATATAAAATGAATCATCTTCTGAGCCACACATGAGTGCCGAAAGGCGACCGCTCAATAAAGAAGTATGACCACGATTGTTGATCGAAGGGGGGGAGAAACCAGAGCACATAGTTCGCAGTACGGACCCCGTCCATGTTGGACTGAGCTATCCCGATGGGTGAAGGTGAGTGTGACTCATACCCAAAAGCCGAGAGAATTCAACGTAGCGAAGGATCAAAGGCATGGAATGGTAAGAGTAACTGTGATTCCTGTGGACTACCTCTATTTGGCCCAAGCTATTGTATCACCCAAATAGAGGTACCCAAGACGGGCACTGAACATTCACCCTGCACTTCACCATGGTAGTCAACCTCTTAGTGGTGGGACCAGTAACGGCTTAAACATCGAAGAGTAAAATCAACGATGATAAAAGCGGCTAATGACTACGCAACGGATTCAGCATGCTCAGAAAGCATAAACTAGGCTATTGGTATTGCCTATCCGAGCTGGATAACCACTGATCTAGGGCTAGTGGATGGGACATAGCCTCTACCACTAGTTGAGTAGAAAATGGTTGAGCTACTCCAGGATAGATGGCCTTGCATTCCAACCGATCCCTACAACGTGTGTAGAAGGTCGGAAGGTTGCAGCGATGATATTTAACACCAAATATCTGTAGGATGGGCTCCTAGCTCATACGCTCACAAAAGTGAAGCAGAAAAACCAAGCTCTTCCCCTTGCTATAATCTTGTATTTGGATTTCAGGGACTATAAGAGCAAGAATTTTGAAGCCTAACCAGAATGAGCCAAAGAGCTAAAGGGAGGTCTGAGGATCAACCCAATGTGATGAAATCAAAGGTAGGCGATAGATGGTAAGCTCTGTTTCCATAAAGAACCCGTCATAGGTTCTAAAAGGAAACAAAAGAGCAGATATCCAGAAACCGAACTGGAAGATTTGAAAGCATAGGCGAGTCCGAGGACCGACCTAATGCGAGCCAATGAAATCAAACCATAAACATCCAAACCAATTCTTCAGAGACACCGCAAGGTGGAAGGGAGGTGACTGTCCCTAGATTCTCTGGTAGTCACTTCTTTTTATGAACTTCCATTGGGAAGTGAAACAGGGAGAAGTGAACTTGAAGTCTACAAAGACTTCAAGCTCACCGAGCCTCGCCGTACATACAACCACGCGACGAATGACGTGATACATGACTGTTGAAGGCCTGAGGACTAACTAGAGCAGGGTCAACTAGATTGTAGTCATGGCAACTGGTAGAAAAAGGCCCAAAAGAGGGAGTACCACCATGACGATTAACATCAAAGTAGACACGGCTACAGGTGGGAAACCCGACCGAAGTTCCAACTTTTATTTTGAACCTCAGGAAGTAACTAACATCGTGAATGATGTACGCTATATGTGGACAAAATTCTGATGTCAGTAGAAACCTGGAAACAGAAGACAAACATGTTGGAATTCGAGAAGTCTCCCCGAGGATCATCCATAAGAGATCCTCGGAAACTTGAACGAACCTAGGTGGACCTTCTATTATTTTTAAAGGGTAAAGACGTTAGAGAAGGTCATCCTTTTAAAAGCCCGAATAGTAGTATGCTATCCACTGCAAAGTTGAGTTTATCTATGGATCTTTCTGAGGTGCAAAGACAATCCGGAAGTAAAACGCCTTCTCAATCGGATTTCCGGGAGGAGGCCACTTCAGGGGGAGTCCAAGACAACGAAGTACCGGCACATGATGAACACAACGTTCCGGCGGATGTAGCTCACGCTGATGGGCTCCTGGCGGAGACACCAGAGGACAACGTCATTCAGTTCTTATACCCTGTGTTGGGACTGCTTGACTGCAGTGCATGCCGAAGGGAACAGCGAATCTCAACATTCGCCGCACCTAAAGCTGCACAGGTGCACGTTGAAGCGAACCACCCCAAGCTAACCATTCAATGGAAATGCGGAGACTGTACGAGGATATTTCCAGGTTGGAAGAACATCATCCAACATCCTCGATACTGTAAAAGAGAGGCGCCAATCGAGATTGGTGAATTCCAGTGCGAGCAATGCCCCCGAAAATTCTCCACTAAAACTGGCAGATCTTTACACCAGAAAAGCGCGCATCCAGTCGAGCGTAATATCGCAAGACTGGAAAGCGCGCAAAAGCCGGTAGCGAAGCCCCCTAGACGCGTCCAGGGTGGCTGGACAGAAGATGAGGAAGCAAGGCTCGTGGAACTGGAACCCCAATATCGAGGCGAGTACTATATCAACAAGTTACTCCAGCCTCACTTTCCCGGTAGGACCGTAAAGCAAATATCTGACAAACGTCGGAATATTGCTGAAAGGAATATGCGAAGGGATAGGGAAGCGAACAACGAAAATGCAGAACAAGCCCCACACCCACTTGGGTTACCTGAAGCACCTTTACCGAATATAGAGACAACATAGATCATGACAATTTTCAGACCAATACCTGAAGTAGAGGCAGAAAAGTTTGACGGGGACGAGCATGCTTGGAGAATGGCAATGGCAGCCTCGGCGGTCAGAACCTTCTACAAACACCGAGGGAAACTATCCGCCAAAGGTCTCCTGGAAGTTGGAATCGCACTTGAAGACGTGGCGATGACTATCCGAAGAGGAGATCCTCAAAGGCGAGAGGAGTACATCGAAAAGCTCGAAACCACTATCGGCCAAATAACGTCGAAATTAGCCAAAGCCAACGAGGAAACTCAGAGGCATATACAACAAATTGGAAGAGGTACGAGACCACCTCGTAACAGAGATCTCAGGAGAAAGCGAAACTACGAACGTGTCCAATATCTTTTCGAGCATGATCCTAAGCAATTAGCTAAGATCGTGATCGAGAAGAGGACCGAGGAACTCGAGGAGTCGAAGACGCTTCCACCACCATCGGAAGACATAAAGTTGCTTTATGATTCACTCTGGGCGAGAAAGGAACCCGTGTCCTTCCCGCCCACTTGGGAACCTACGGTAAATACGCTTGCTGGGGTTGTGGCAGTACCACCTATCCAACTTGTGGCAGTCAAACGCCGATACAACAGATTAAAGGCTAAAACCGCCGCTGGTCTGGATAGAATAGGGAAGGCGGAGCTCAATGAGGCAGCGCTCGTGGTTCTTACGATGTTGTATAACATATGCCTAGCAGCTGAATACTTCCCGAAGAACTGGAGGATCAATAGAACAACATTGATCCTTAAAGCCGGAAAAGACCCGGAGCAGGTCGCCAATTGGAGACCAATTACCATCAGCTCCGTGGTCGGTCGATTATTCTCAGGGGTAATCAACGAAAGTCTGAGACAAAACGTCAAGTTTTGCAGTAGACAAAAAGGCTTTACCAGCGAAGCGGGAACATTCAACAACATAGCGATATATAAGCAGATACTGGCAACAATGAAGGAAGAAGAAGGCGGAGTATGCACTTTTTTGGACATCTCTAAAGCCTTCGATACAGTGCCGCATGAGGCGCTGAAACCAGCCCTGAGAAGGCTGGGAATTCCGACATTTGTAGCGAATTATATCTGCGAAATGTATCGCGGCTGCACAACCACCATTAATGGAAGGGAAGGCACCATCGAAATAGAACTCAAACGAGGTGTGAAACAAGGAGATCCGCTTTCGCCATTTCTATTTAACGCGATCATGGACCCACTACTCGACTTCTTCGATAAGCGAGACGAGGGAATTTCACTGGGTGGAAGGAAAGTGTCCGTTTTAGCATTTGCAGATGATGTGACTTTGGTCAATACATTAGTAGAAGATGCAGCAAGAGATATTCTTGCAACTACGGACTACTTCCAAGCCCTAGGAATTAAACTCTCAATTGCCAAGTGTTGTTTTTTTAAAATCAGGACACTACGCAAAACTTGGGCAGTTGAAGATCCCGCACTCAACATCAGAGGCGAAGCGGTCAAGTATGTGGGGCCAGATGAGGAACTCAGGTATCTGGGGGTCGACTTCACTCCTTGGCGAGGGAGTATTTCAGAAAGGCTCGCCCTTCAGAAATATGTGGATTGTTGTAAGGATATACAGCGACTTGGAACGCTGAAACCACAACAGAAACTGAAGTTGATCACCGCATACGTGTACCCAAAGTTCAGATACAGCTTCGTGCACGACCCGCCTGCAAAGACGGAACTCGTGCACGTTGACGACGAGATCCGGCAATTCGTCAGGAAGATTTTCCACCTTCCAAGCAGTGTCACGAACGCACTTTTCTACACTCGTACAAGGGACGGGGGATTGGGCATTCCTCGGCTGGAAACCGACGTACAGTTCGCCATCTTGATGGCAAGAGCAGCAATGGATAGATCCCAGGATCCAATCTTACGCAGCTTAGCCGAAAATTCGAGACTGGCTCAGAGCGCACAAAAAGCTGCCCGAAACCTCCGGATTGCAATGCCTCGTAGTGTTCGACAATGTGAACTGGAGAAAACTCGGTCTAAAAAGCGAGAACTTGAGACTTGGGTAAATCTCAATTCCCAGGGACAAGGAGCCGAATACTACAAAGAGAGCAGCATCTCCCATCAATGGCTAATGCGCGATGATCTCTTACTGCCCAATAGATTGATCGATGCGCTGCGGTTCCGTACCAACACCTTCGGAAACCCTGAAGCCCTGAAGAGATCCGGATACGACGTCCCAATCGAATGCAGAAAGTGCAGACTCAGACCCGAAACACTGAGTCTTGTAATAGGTGGATGCACAACGCAAAAAGGAGCAGCCATAAATCGACACAACGAGATTCAAAACCTTGTGGTGGAGAAATATGGCCATAAGTTCCCGGATGCGCAAGTGCTAACCGAGCCGACCTTCGTAGCACGCGGGGAAACCCTTAAACCGGACCTAGTCATTAAGAACCAGGAAAGGGTCCTTGTAGTCGACTCCGCAGTCCGCTATGAGGATAGAGGGTCCCTTGAGCGGGCCAACGAAGAAAAACGAAACAAGTATGAATGTCTGAGAAATCCAATTCTTAATAGGATTGGTGGAACAACATTCGAAGTGATTCCGATCGTAGTAGGTGCGAGAGGAATTCTTCCAAAATCAACTATTGCTAATTTAAGGAAATTATCTATTGAGGACAAGAGTACTTATTTGACAATATCCATGATTGCCCTCAGATGTTCACTTGAAATGGGGAATAGCTTCCTCGACAACGATTATTATTCTGTTCACTAATTTGGTTCTCAAACTTTTTGATGAACATTCGCCTATAAAAACCGTTAAAATTACCAAGAAAAAAGCACCTTGGATAACGGATAATCTGAACCAACGTAGGTGATCCATAACTTACAGTGGAGGTGATATATAACAGGAGGGGTGAAAGAACTTACAGTCACAACTCCACCACATAAAAATTTTAATAATGACCAACGGTCATGGACATAAACATGTCCTTTTTATGTCCATGACCGTTGGTCATTATTAAAATTTTTATGTGGTGGAGTTGTGACTGTAAGTTCTTTCACCCCTCCTGGGATAATCTGAAGTTCATGTTCAAACTCAGAGACAAAGCTCTGACGAGATTCAAAAGAACAAAGGCTCCACAACATTGGAATTATTATAAAGAAATAAAAAATCTCACAAACCGAACCGTAAATCTAGAAAAAAGGGCTTACCTAGACTATCGCTTGAAAAGAAGTAGGCAATTATGGAAAGAATTGGCTGACATGAACGTTCACAACAAAAAATCACGAAATTCTATCCCTGAGCACCTGATGAATGCTGAGGAAATCAACAATTTCTTCGGGAGTGTATCAAATAATGACTCTGTACCTGATGATGAAACGATCCGTTTCTTTTCTGGTAATACAGCAAATAATCATGATAATTTCTCATGTCACGAAACTAATGACCATGAAGTATATAAAACTATACTAAGTATACATTCAAACGCTGTTGGACATGACAAGGTAAGCATTCAAATGTTACTACATTGCGGTCCCCTGATATTGCCACATATAACCCACCTATTCAATTTCTGCATACAGAAAAATGTTTATCCAGCAAGTTGGAAACGTTCGCATATTCTTCCTTTAGCGAAAGTTGCTAATGCAGAAAATATGAGTGACCTTCGCCCAATAAGCATTTTGTGTGCAATCTCGAAAGCTTTCGAAAAGATATTGAATGCTGAGATGCGTATATACTTGAATGAATTTGACATATTACCATCCTGCCAATCAGGCTTTAGATGTGACCATAGTTGTACCACCGCTCTTCTGAAAGTGATTGATGATATACACATCTCTATTGATAACAATGAATTGTGTCTACTAGTATTGCTCGACTATTCTAAGGCTTTTGATCGAATCAATCACCAACTTCTTATATCAATTCTTAGTTACCTGGGGTTCACTATGAATGCCATATCTCTACTCAAAAATTATCTTTTCAACCGATCTCAAAGCGTTATCATAAACAGTGAAAAATCTAAATCACTAGAAATAAAGAACGGTGTTCCTCAGGGATCAATTTTGGGCCCTCTTCTTTTTGTTCTCTACACTTCACAATTCGCAAAGTCCTTACGTTACGCTTCAATGCACTGTTATGCTGATGACACGCAGATGTATTTAAATTTCGAAGAAAACTCCTTCAACCTGGCACTTGACCAAATGAATCATGATTTGAATACTCTCATAACCGTTTCAAATAAATACTGCCTCACTGTTAATAAATCCAAATCATACGTTATGCTTTTCGGAAGGACAGCAGCAAGAAATCGTTGCAAGAATTTTTTGAATATTCGTGTTGACGGAGTCCCCCTACCCACCGCAGATACAACGAAAAATTTGGGATTGTACCTTGATAATGCATTACGCTTCACTACACACGTTTCTCATATTTTAAAACAGGGTTAGATGAATCTAAGAACGATCTATTCAAACAGAAATTTTTTGAATAAAAAAAGTAAAATGATACTCTGTGATGCTTTAGTGTTATCACATGCTAACTATGCAGACGTGGTTTATGGACCGGGGCTGATGAAATCGGACAAAATGAGACTACAAAAATTGCAGAACTCATGTGTGAGACTTATTACGGGCACAAGAAAGCGGGAACATGTTACGCAACATTTAAGGAATCTTGGATGGCTGAACATGGAGGCTAGGCGTACACTACATTCCAGTACGATATTTCATAAAATAATAACAACTGGAAAACCTCCTTATCTATTCAAGAAACTGACTTTCTGAACTGACATTCATAATCTCAACTCAAGATTTCGAAATAATTTGGCTGCGCCTAAACACAAAACCTCCTTCTTTCGTGGCCCATTTTCATTCCAGATCGCTCGCCTTTACAACCGGTTACCCATTGATTTCAAATTATTACAAATGAAAAAATTCAAAAAAACTGTGAAGCAATATTTATTTGATAACAATTTTCCAAATTTCTTATTATAATATGATAATTATGATGGCATATTTGAATCGGCACATCACTTTTTCTCCGCTTATTTGTACTGATCACTGTATTTTGATATATTTTTTTTATGAATAGTATTTTCTTTTATATTTATATTATCAAGTATAGTTCGATTTTGATTTTTTTTCGGAGCAGTTGAATAGTCTACGATATTCTATTGTATGTACCTTATAATATTATTGACTATGAATTTATTATGATAAGTTACTCCACTGGTTGGATGGAAGAGCAATTAATGCCATGAGCAATCATGTGCAGGCATTGAATCCTGCCTTTTGTTAGGATATAAGCTAATTGCTGTACCTACAATAAAAGCATTTATTATTATTATTATTATTATTATTATTATTATTATTATTATTATTATTATTATTATTATTATTAAGAATTCATACTCTTCTGTCTCACACTCTATCCCACCACGTAATGGGTAGAATCCAAAACGCTTTCTCTTCCATTGATAACTTCTCCGACACAATCCACATCTTTTCTCAAAACCCTATTTCCTCTGGTAATGACCTACTAGTGTGGTCAGCGAAGACACTGGGAAGATCCTCTGTGCGTTGTCGCTGGATGACGAAGCTAGGAGCTGATGATGACCTCATGCCCGAGCTGCGTTTTCTAGAACGATGTGTTTAGGTGTTCTGATAGCCAAATGCCTCGTCATCTAATTAGTGACGCGCATGAATGGATTAACGAGATTCCCACTGGAGCCGTGAGACCTTTTCGTTGGTGGGGGGAACCAGTAGCCGCAGTGATTCCGAGAGCAATGCCGGCGGGAGCTTATGCTCCTGGCAGGGTCACCCTTGCCAGTAAGGTCGAGGAAGAGCGGTGAAGCTAAGGACGGCTCAAACCAAGAGGAGTAAACCTCGTTAAAAAATCCCCAATGCTAAGGTGTGTTGCGTGCCGACGGCATGAATGACGCTGGGGTGATGGCGCCTCTAACGCAAACTCGACCAAATAGGCGCTTTGGCCGACTAAGTTGCCTTACTTCTACATGCAGGGCTCTGTAGGAATGGACATGTTATTTCCCTAGCTAATCGTGGGATTCAATATGAATAATAATACACAAGATACAAACAAAAATACAAATCTGAGTGTAAACTTAGTAAGAGAAAGGATTGATGATGACCAAGGCTCTTGTAGATCCGAGTCGGTCGCAGGAGATATTCATCAAGAAGACTCCTCTCTTGAGGAACAAAGCAACAATTTCAAAGATATTAGCGAAAAATTTATGGGTAGAGAGGCCGCCACCCTAGTCCAAGAAAGCCTGACGCAATTTTCGCAAGCTAAAGAAAATATACTGAACATCTTAGTAAGTTCAAAAGAACACTTATCAAAAAAGACACTTGCAGTTAAAAATTTAGAGAAAATGACAATTGCGTTTACAAAAATGCTCTCATTTTTGGGACAAGTCTCAACCATTAATAATGTATCAGAAAAACTTGAATCTGTTGAAGTTAATATTGAAAAAATGGCTAGCAATATCAGCCCAATTCGTCCGAGCTATGCTGCAGTTATGAACTCGAAACCAGAACCAATAAAAGTGCCTAATAATAAAGGACAAGAAGTTAAACCATCTAAAAACAAAGTAATTATGGTGTTTCCAGCTGAAGGCAATAATAGCCTGAAAAGTAGCGCTGATACATTGATAGAGTTGAAAAAGCTGAAAGCTTATGATGTAGGAATCAAAGCAGAAAAATTATTTCCTGCTGATAAAAATGGCATTAAAATCATTGCAACTAGTGACAGCGAAATTGCTGAAGAAGAACTACATAAAGCAGGCCTAAAAGCTGAAGTAATTAAAAAACTTGACCCCAGAATGGCTATTATGGGGATACCCAGTGACTGGACTAAAGGTAAAGTTGAGGCTCTAGTTAATGATGAGCTAGAGATCCCAGAGGGGGATAAAGAGAATGAAATAACTGCGAAATTTGAATATGGCGATAGAGATAAAAGTTCAGTCACTTGGGTGATAGAATGTAACCCTCGAACAAGGCTGGAGATGCTGAAGGAGAAAGCGTTTATTCCTGAATTGGTCCTCTTGTGGCGTGAGAGACCATATTAGGATAACAAGGTGCTATAAGTGCCAAGGATTTGGACATATCGCAAATGTATGCAGAAATCTAATTGCCTGTGGCAAATGTGCTGAGGACCATGAAACCAAAGATTGTAGAGGAAGAAGCTTGAAATGCATAAACTGTGCAAGAGCAAAAGTAGCTGATAGAGAATGCGGTCACGAAGCCAATGACGATAAATGTCCGACCTACACCAGAAGAATTCAATCACATATTAACAACATCGACTATGGCCAATAGACTGAAACTGAAAGTAGGTCAAGTTAATCTGCAGAAATCGAACCTGGCTACTTCTGAAGCAAGGCAGGTAGCTGAAAGAGAAAATTATGATTTACTAATTGCCCAAGAACCATACGCTATGGTAAACCAAAATGGCATCTTTCAAATCCCTGGCTTCTCGCAATATAGAGTTGCTAGCGTGAAACAGGAAAACCCTCTATCGTCTATTATAGTATTAAACAAAGATCTTGACGCATTAGAGATAAAGCAATTTGTTAACAACAAGATTGTTACTGTACTAATAAAGAAAAATACAGAAGAAATCTTAGTAATAAGTGTCTACTCACCACCAAGAGAAGAACTACAAGACATCACTAGACAATTGCATTCGATCATAACTTTGTATGCTGGAACAAAAATACTTATAGGGGGAGATTTCAATAGCAGGTCAGAAACATGGCATGATAGAATTACAGACCAAAAAGGAATATTTCTGGAGAGTTTCATAACTCACAACAATCTGTTTATACTAAACCAGGCAGGGAATCCCTGTACCTTCTCTACAATCAATGGCGAAAGTAATATCGACATTAGCCTGCTTTCTAGAAACCTCTATGCATTAATAAGTGACTGGGAGGTGATAGTAGGTAAGGTCCAAAGTGACCATTCATGGATCAAAATAGAAATAAGTGATCAGGACTTATTAGAACAGGATGATCTAGAGGACAAATATAATATAAAGCACGTTACGCAAGAACATGTGCTTCCTTACAGTACTGGATTAGCTGAAGAACTAAGGAACATGCCTCTAAACAATATAGAAGACATTGACATTTACATACAAGTAATTACTGAAAGGCTAATTGAAATAACCACAAGAGTCGGTAAAAAAGTGAGCAACCCATCAAGGTTTGCTCCTTGGTGGAACAATGAGATCAAAGCACTCAAAGAGGAGGTCAAGATAGCCAGAAAGCGCTACCAGAGAACAAGAAGGAATAACCTAGCAGAAGGAATTAGAAGGAACACCAGAGAAGCATATCAAACACTGCTAAATAGATACAAAAATAAAATTCTCAAGTCCAAGAAAAAGTCCTGGGATGAATTCGTCGAGAATGACCTAGGTAGAAATCCTTGGGGAGTAACCTATAAGATCGCAGCCAATAAGATCAAAATAAAGACGATGCAGAACACCGTCTATAATGACCATGGCTCCACTACCACCAATTTTGAAGATACTTTTTCCAACATAATAAATAAACTGATGCCGAGTGATGACCCAATCACTGATAATGAACTTAATACTGAGTGGAGACAGAATCAAGAACAATTCAATGGCAGAGAAGTTGAAGTGCTGCTCACCCAAGAGGATCTTGACACAGCCATACAGGCAATTAGAAAAAACAAAGTCCCAGGATCTGATAATATACACCTGTTATTTACACCTCCATATGTAATATTTTTCATTATCATTACGATCCACTTTCCACCCATAAAATGAGGTATTGCATTGACTGATACCTTCACTGATACTCACTACTAAGTTCGATGTTGGGTATTCCTCAGTACGCCTAATCAGTTCTGATATGTTCATCATATAATGGTTATTAGCCTCGATCATTTATTTCTATTATAAATTCCACGATTCACTCTCCACATTGAAAAATTTCGTATTCACAAACATATTCTTGTATTTGTTGCTGACATGTCGAAGTGGAAAAACCGAGAGTTCTCATTATAGATCCGAATGCTGTGGGATTCAACAGTGCTTCGAATAATCGATGGAATTTGTTTCACAAGAATCACATTCCACTTCTGCCAAAATCACACTTCACTTTCGCTGAAATGACACTTCACTTTCCCCAAAATCACACTTCACTTTCACATGCTGTTCCTTTGATATGTAGGTGCAATCTATTAAGGCGGGCCTTTCGCGACAGCTTTCCGACCGAATATAGCCTATATATATATACTAGTTCAACAACTATTTCTAGGTGTCAGTGTGATGTCGAAATCGGAATAAAATAATTGAATTACAGCTTTCACAGCTATTGTAGAGTTCTTCGATTTCGTCTGTTACAGCAGGTCACCAATAGGTGGCACACAATTGAATGCAATCATAGGTAATTGTATTATGTACGTGCAGTGTTGCCAGAGCTACTGCTCCACGGGCCTGCTCAACATGATTCCACTTTTCACTCCATTCAAGTCAAGCAAATACCTATATCTCGCTACAATGAAAATTTATGTCATGAGTCATTTTTGAAACTGTCTTCACAAGTAGTCTTTCGAATATTTCTTTTCCTTTTTAATTTCATTTCCTACTAATATACTTAACTTATCATTATTGGCGTCGCCAGAAAAACTTCCAAGGATGGGGATCGAAATCATTGTTCAGGGCAAAATACTCAAAATAGTCTGTGTAATTCAGAAATAATGTTTGCAAGATTTTTTATCAAGTTCAGATGGCTATAAATAGAAATGTCGTGTTTTCTGTATAGGGTATATACGTAGACGATTGCCTAGTTTCAAATATCTTCATTCTTACGAATTCACACTGCTATTACTGATATAAGGGTTATATTGATATATACAGTGTGTAGAATGAAAGAAATCCTTGATTCAAATTTCATGTTCTCTAATTCAGACCTGCTTGCTGAAATACAAATTTCGATCATAATTGCACTTATGAAAAAAACAATTTTTTCGAAGTGAGAACTTCTAGGCGCGTTGAGCACTTTTTTGGGTGGAGAAAAACATTGGATTCGCGTCATCGTCACGACCCGTTCCGTGTCCCGTTATCGCGAGGTCAATGAATAGCAATAAATTTGAAGGGTGCAGTAGCGCATCTCATCTTATATTATGTAGTATTTTGTAATTATGATTAGATTCTATTCTAAATTGGTATATGGAGGTTTTCGGGGTCGGAGATTATGATTCTTTCGTGAAAATTAGGATATTGAAGATGGCTGACGAGTTTTATTTATAATAATTATGATCCCATTCTATTCAAAATTGGTGTCTGGGGGTTCTCGGCGTCGGAGATTATGATTCTTTCATCATGGCTCCACCAATATGGCGCACGAGTTTCGTAATTATGATTCTATGCCATTTGAAATTTGTATCTGGGGTTTTTTGGGGTCGGAGATTATGAATCCCGAAATGAAAAAATTCAAGATGACGGATTCAATATGGCGGACGAGTTATGTGATGATGATTCTATCCTATTCAAAATTTATATATAAGGGTGTTTGGGGTCGGAGATTATGATTCTATCGTCAAAATTGGGAAATTCAGGATTGCAGATCCATTAAAGCGGACAAGTTTTCTAATTTTATTATCCGATTCTATTCAAAATTTTTACTGGTGTTTCAGGGGTCGGAGATTTTGAATCATTTGTCAAAATTAGGAGATTCAAGCGAACACCATCTCAAAAGTTTTTGTTAGTCTATCTTAGACAGCGAATGTTTTTAGGTAATAAAGTTTGTCGAGTTGATAAAAATTCTGTTTGATAGTGATAAAACAGTGTATAGTATGAGTGTGATTATATCGTACCAAAGTTTCCAGGATTCCCTGGTTTCGGTCTTCAACATAACGGTGAGAAATTGAATTGCCATCATATGCTTTCTATATCTCACAATCCATTTTGTTTTAATGGTCAACTTATTTTAAATCATTTAAAAATCGAATTATAATGAAAAAAATATAAGAAAATTATGTTCATGCTGATATAAAACTCACAAAGTTATTGTATGAGGAATTTTAAAATGAAATATTTTTCTTGAACAACCTGTTTCTCCAAAACTAACAACATTTTCTATGAGAGATGTGAGGCTGCATCTTGATATTATTCTGATGTTTACTATTTCTAGCTCACACATCGACCATTTTCATGCTGATTTAAAACTCACAAAGTTATTGGATGAGGAATTTCAAAATAAAATATTTTCCTTGTACACCCTGTTTCTCCAAAACTAACAGCATTTTCTATGTGAGATGTGAGATGTGAGGCTTAATCTTGATATTCTGATGTTTACTATTTCTAGCTCACACATTGACCATTTTGAATGAATAACCCTGTATATATTTCAAAGAAAATTTTAATATCACGGAATTCATTGAATTTCAAAAATCTTCCCCAAAGAAGATGTAAGTGGAATATGAAGTATCTACCTACGATAATTCTCTAAAACATGAACTGGATGTTCGATAACGTCTCCAAATGTCTCGAAAAAAAAAAGCGGCTGCTATATTTTCAAATATTTCGTATGTGTCTGACTTTCCTGTTGCCTCGCTTCTCTGCCCATTCTTATGAATTTTTGCGACATATCATTTGCAGCAGCTTGCAACACTGGCTTTTCAATTATTGATTATATGCCGGTTAGTTTGAAGTTCATCTGAAGTTCACGCAATTCGAAGTGGCACGTGGCGGACTAGGCGGACTGCGGAAAGACGGGGAATCACCGCGCGACGAATGAATATCCCCCCGGTTCGCCGCGGGAGGGAGACATATAACGATTTCTCGCTCAGTTTTGTTCTGTTGCCGTGGCGGTATTATCCTCTGTGAATATCGCCATATCATCAATGGATCCAAAATCTGAGAACTGTACTCTGAGAGTTCTGAGACGAATGTTTTTGCATGAGTTTTAGAGTGAAATAACCTGAACTTTTGACACAGATTAACAAAGCTTTTTGAAGTTTGTTCCACAACTGTGCCATTCCTATTATTTCCATCTATATGCTGACATAATTATCGATCTCATGAATAGAATTG